TAGGGAGAGGCCAGTTTTGTTTACTTTCTAGCATTTCACTACCCAGGACTTCCCAATTGAATAACCAAGACCTGTGATACATCCTAATGTGGAACTGAAGGAGCAAGAAATGCTGTCTGTAAGTTACTCTGATAGACAAGAAGCTTGACAGATCCTTGACAAGCAGGCATTTAAAGAAAGGACTTACAGATAGATAATAAACATGGCAAATTTGTGGTTTCTTCCTTACTCTGTTGATCTGAGATAGAGGTTATCAGGGACTCCAGTCTGGTACAAACTGGTCAGATAAAGCCATTCATGTGCATGTGTACCTGAAGCTATAGGCTTATCAGCTTCCTTTCTTTGTTTAAGTTGACCAGGTCAACATGAGTGAGGATCCTAGGCCACCTAAAACTCTTATAATTCTCATCCCTCCTGTGACAAAAAAAGACTTTTGGTCTCCAGATCCCTTTCTTACTTTTTGAGGTATTCTTTTCTATGTTTGCTCTGTTTTTCTTCCTGGTTACCCCTCTGCCACCCCTCCCCTCCCCATCACACATCTGCCCTCCCCACTCCCTTTTGCCTGTATGAGAGTGTTCCCACACACACCCACTTTCTCCTGCCCCACCACTCCAGCATCCCCCTACTCTGGGGCATCAAATCTCCCCTGGACCAAGGGCCTCCTCTCTTATTACTATAGGGCAAGCCTATCCTCTGCTACATATGTATCTGGAGCCATGGATCCCTCTAGGTACACTCCTTGGTTGGTGGTCTAGTTTCTGGGAGAACTGGGTTGTCAGACCAGCCTATGTTGTTCTTCCAATGGGGTTGCAATCTCCCTCTGCTCCTCTAGTCCTTCTGCCAACTCTCCCACCAGGTTCCCTGAGTTCAATCTGATGGTTGGCTCCAAGCATCCACATCTGTATTGGTCAGTTGCTGGCCAGACTTCCCCAGGAATTGCTGCACTTGGTTTCTGTCAGCAAGCGCCTCCTGATCATGGCAACTGTGTTGATTTGGTGTCTGTGGACATGATGACACAGGTGGGGCCTCAACGTAACTCTTTGTGGATGTTGAGTCAGCCCATTTAGGGTCTTCTTACATGGTGTCCTCAGGCTGGTTTAAGAGTCTGTGATGGTACATTCTCACATGTCACTATCACTTCTTCTGCCTTCTAATATCAGAGAAGCTTACAAAGCCAAGCCACACCCAATGAAGAGCTACATAGTTTCCCTGTAAAGGGCTGTACAGTGGTTTTAAGACCGTTGTTTAACATCTACTCCAATGCTCATGTTTACTTTAGAGCCTCAGCTAAGGAATTCCTTAAACTCCCTTTATGCAACCATCCTCATGATTAGTTGTAGTGAGAATTTCTGGTTTCTTTAAAAACACAGAAATGTTCTGGGAATGTTTTTGTTTTAATCCCATGTGTGGGATATGGGGCTGCTTCAGATTGTCCACAGCAGCTGACGGAGTTGCCCTGTGCTCTAGCAGCAGTGTGACTTTGTCAGCTGAAGATAGCTAATATTTGGAGTTCTGAAGTCTCTTCAGAGGGTTCATGAATAGCAGAGCCCCGAGAGAAGGAGCAGCTATGTTCTTCCTCTTCTGCTGCACCTGCCACCCCTACCCCTGTTGTTAGTTGTTGCTGTTTGTTAGATTGATGGTTGGAGATAGCCTCAAGATGAAGATCAAATTTGCCCCAAACAACTTGACACCCCTAATCAGCAGGAAGTAGTCTAGTGGCATGGTTGTTCCTGTTCCTCTCTAACCTTCTTTCTCTTCTACCCACTGTTGTGGCAGCTGTTGAAAGGGATATGGGTGGTGTATGGAGGTCGGAAAAAGAACCCAAGAATGTAGCCAAAGTACAGCTACAATTAGCTCCTGGATCTTTCTATTTCCAATATCGGCAGCATTTCACAGTCTCTGTTCTAAGACTCCTAGACCCTGACCACCACTCCTTTCATTGTCCATATTTTGTAGTATCCTGATCCAAAGGCCTTTGGCCCTAGTGAGACCTGAATGCCACTGATGTTCAATATTTCTACAAACTTTCTGCTTCTCTATGTCTTTCTAGTCCATCATTCTCAAAGCCATGAGAAGATACGATAAAACCCATGAGCAGACAAAAGAATCCATAAGTGGACAATAAAACCCATGAACGGACAATAAAACCCATGAGTGGACAGTAAAGCACATGAGCAGACAATAAACCCATCTCCCACATTGTCAACTGCTTTACCTTTTTATGATCCTGTCATGTTCAATGAGCAAAATCTGAGACTTCATTAGATCCATCTCCCTGCACCAATGAAGTTGATATGATTGGGGAAACTCATATAACCATATATGGATACCATATATGGATAACCATATAGTGACACCATATATGGTGTCACTCTCTGGATGAGCCATATTTAAAGGGTCCATTTAAAAGCCATAATGTGCAGAGAAAGGGGAGACAGAACCTGTAGAGATCACCTCCAGTAGATAGGCACGACCCCTGGTCAAGGGATGGGGCCAGTCACCCATTTCAAAGTTTTGAGAAACGTTCCTGTCCAAAGGAAGAACAGGGACAAAAAATGGAACAGAGACTAAAAGGTCAACTGGGGAATGGCTCCACTTGTGGATACGTCATGTCTGCAGACACCAAACCAGACACTGTTTGCCATGGTCAGGAGGTGCTTGGTGACAGGAACCAAGTACAGCAGTTCCTGGGGAGGTCTGGCAACTGACCAATGCAGATGTAGATGCTTGGAGCCAACCATCAGACTGAACTCAGGGAACCTGGTGGGAAAGTTGGCAGAAGGACTGGAGGAGCAGAGGGATATTGCAACCCCATTGGAAGAACAACATAGGATGGCCTGACTACCCAGTTCCCCCAGAGACTAGACCACCAACCAAGGAGTGTACCTGGAGGAATCCATGGCTCTAGATACATATGTAGCAGAGGATGGCCTTGCCTGAAAGCAACAGGCCCTTGGTCCTAGGGAGGTTTGAGGCTCCAGAGTAGGGGGATGCTGGAGCGGTGGGGCAGGAGAATGTGGGTGTGTGTGGGAGCACTCTCATTCAGGCAAAAAGGGAAGGG